TAAAATTGCCATGACATCCATATTGATTGAGAATTATAATATATGGTAATATAAAATGTAATATATATAATATTAAAAATGATATGTAATAAAAATTAAAAAATAGTTTTATTCATTAGTTATCGCTTTAAAAAAATCTTGATATAGCATCCAGCTACATTTAAGATGAATAAATATATCATATATGTATAGAGTTTTGGAATATCGTGGAATGTATCATATTCAACCATAGCTTATTGCCAAACATTCTGTATATAATCGTAATATAGCATTATACAGCATTTATGATTTATCTGTAATATACGTTTGTAGGCGAAGTTTGATATTTTTCAAATCCTTATTCCGAAGGATCCTAATTTTTCTCTTCGTTGACAGTCAGCCGACAATTTTATAGAAGGTGGCATATCAATCAAATAATTCCGCGGGATAGAAAGTATCGCGAGCGATAACTGAAAATTATGAGTATATCGATTCTTATTTCTTTCTAACACGGCAATATCGGCAATGTAGCTGTTAATAAGAAATCCACAGACACGGAGTATTTTTAGTGAAGATAGGTCGGATCGATGAAAGACATTTACTTGTCAATTTTGTCCGCAAATAAAGTGAAAAGTATTCTAACATAAATAGTTGTGTATTAGTTTAGGATGTTTTTATTTAATTAATGTTAACTTCCCGTCTTGTTATCTGGTAAGAATAATTTTGCCAATTTATTGGACAATCTAGAAATGTCTCACATAAAAAAAAAAATAAAAGAAATTGATCCATCGTATCATTGATGATACTGATAATCCTTCGTTTTAGCAAGGGGGAAATTGTAGATTTCTCTACTGAAAAGAAAACGAAATTAGAATAAAATTTCTTGTCCGAAAATCGTCCCGAGTAGATCCTTACAGGCTAAAATTTTGATATGAAGTACAAAGAAGTGTATATTCTTCGTAGATTATGCATGCATATTTTACGAATACCATTATCTATCCTTTAAAGACTTTCCACGCTTTAGACAATTAAAAAGAAAATGAACTCTTTATTTATCGCGACTCAGTTAATTGCCCATTGTTGTTAACTTTAAAAGTATAATTATCGGTTAATTGAAATTATATTTGTGTGTAAGATAATCTCGCTATGGAATGTATCAGCAATTAATACGAGGTTAACAATACGGATATACACACACACGCACACACACGTGTGTGTGGGTATTCTTCAAATCAACGACCATCGTGATATTCAACTTGTTTTTAAACTTTAATCCCTTTACACGGGAAATATATATATTTTGTTGATCTTTATTGTGTTACGTGCGCGCGTTTCACATTTCGTCGAGACTTCGAATAGAAATAATCTCGATTTCGATTATTAAAAAAAAGTAAGAGACTTTAAGGATGTTCCTTTCGAAAAATTGCGGTTCCGGAGATCCTCAACCAACGCCTGAAAGTGACATCGCGGAGTGAGAGGAGCTGCAAGGCAAATTTATTACGGAGAACCGCCTCTACGTTTGTAGCAATAATTCGAAATTAATTCCGTCGTGAAATGGCAAAAGGAAAAAAAAACGCGATGGAAGCTCCAGACGCGGCAAGGATGATCTCTCCTTTCCTTCCACCCCTGTTTTTCTCACCCTTTCTTACAGTTCGCGTGTGAGTTCGACTTCGTTTATCGCGTATAAGCCTATTTATAATCTCGGACGCAGCTTAATCGCGCAATGAAATGAATACAATGCAATTGATGTTTAAGAATACTTTTTAACTTTTCATTACATCTTTTTTTTAATAGTACATTCACGATAGGACTAATAGAGTCTTCTTCATTCGCCATGCATCCCTTCCGTAAGCTCACAACATACCGGGTAATGTGTAGCTTTCTCACTGTCTCTCTCGCGTCCTCGCTCTCACTCTCATTCTCTCTCTCTCTCTTTCACACTCTCTCCCTCTCTATCTCGCGAATCTTAAAATCTTACGAACTAAACAATTGGTTTCCCTATATAAACAGCATTTTATAGATAATCTACATCTTATGATCTTACAATAAAAAATACGAATCATGGGGGGCAGGGCGTAGACAAAAAGTAATGACGTCTTTAAAGTGTTCGCTCATTAAAGGTAACGCTCTATATATACGGATCCTTCTTAAAAAAAAAAACCGATGAAAACCGCTCGGAACGAACGTACTAAAGAACAATGAGTAAGTTGTAATGAGTGCATCGTGCGAGCCGTTCCCATAAACCCACAGTATATACAATGTGTTCAGCGTTAGACTTTCACCGTACAGAATCGTTTAGATAAAGCGATAGGGGATAGATAGGAGTAACGTTACCCTGCCGCGACCGCGTGTACTTTGAAGCTCTCTCATTCGCCTTGAGATAGGACGCGAGAAAAACGGTATTGTATGACTGGTATTATATAACATTGTATCATGGTGGCCAAACTAAGAGAAATTGAAGACTTTAACGCAATTGTGTGTGTGACGCTATAATACAACAGTTGTTTTAATGTCATTTTATGTGAGGTAAATTTGAATATATTTTCAATTCGAGTTAACTTTAATTTATATACATTGAAATTTAATTATTTCTGCACTTTGATAGAATTAGTTTTCAAGTGCAAAGAGGCTCAAGACAGGAAAATTTGAAGAGAATATGCGGCTGACCCTTGGAGAAGTTTGACCACCACTATATCTCTAGTACAATTGTTGAAATTGAAGAATGCTTGGATTCAGAAAAGCAGAAGTGTCTTCTGCACGCGGGTTTGTCAAAAAATTCTCTAAGAACCCCTCGTTATCGTATGCGATTAAATTCTTCGTTTCTCAGGAAATAAATAATACGAATTCGAATATGTTCCAATTATATATCATTTTTAATTTGCATGATGCGGTACCTTTCCGGAAAAATATAATTTACAATTACAGAATTTTAACCCGCGGGAAATTAGTAGATCAAATTCAAGTTTCGCGATTCGGGCTCAATGTTGATATGTCTTAATTATGTCTTAATGCCCTCGCCGAATTTCAGTTGGCGAACGGCCTCTCGCACGTATAACAATCTCCGCGAAAAGGTACAAGGGAAAATACTTTGCGCGTTAAGTGCCGATCGCAGCAGGGAAGGTTCGAGAGAAAAAGGACGGCGTTACAGTGATGGAACGACAACGAGGAGGGACATAGGTGAATAAAAGAATTCCACGGTATGGCACAGGTTTATGAGTCAGGCAGGTACTAATAACGATTTCGAAATATACAAACATGATCGCCTCGCATTTCGCTTCGCTTCGCGAGTGTGTATTTGGATGTGTATGTGTGTATGTGCATATGTGTGTGTATACATAAGAAATAAATTAAATATAGCTCACGCTTTGATCGCACAAATTTCTTCTCTCGCAAATTTAACTACGGTAAGAACATTGCATTATATATATATACACAGGGCTATGCATTTCGTAAGAGTTACAGTACGATTAGTATAAGATAGCGTGTTAGAGAGTTACGCGCGCGTGCACGCACACGTGGCCTTTGTGTGTGTGTGTGTATGTGTGTATACACGTGGATCAGTGTCAGTGTCGGTGTGTAGAGAATCGCCTACAACGCATTCGTCGTAACGGTTTGATTGGACCTAACTACGATCGATACTCGAAATGGGCATGGTAAATTCATAGCATGGAATTATTTATTTTTGGGTCTAACGAGAGCGACGTTCTAGGCCCGACAGATTCGCGTGGACGGGTAACACGAAGGGATTGAGGGCGGGCAAGAGAAGATGGATTAGTAGAGGGAGGACCGGGGGAGGACTCGACGGGGGGAAAAGAAGGGGATATATATAACAGGAAATATATTTGAGTTTTCATTTAATCATAACTACTCATTAGAGATCCAATGTCTTCTCTCTTTCTCTCTCTCTTTCTCTCTCCCTCTCTTTCTCTCTCTCTCTCTTCTCTCTGATAATCTTATACTTCGGAATACTAAACTCTCAAAGTGGCGTCATATAATATTACTTCATTTTAAATTCATGATAATAAAGTCATCTATGCGGTATGAGAGCTTAACTGCGCGTCAACGTGCCTCATACCGTCGCATACGTGCGCGCCGAGACGCGTGCGTCGAGACGCGGAACGCGCGTGTCGACGTGCACACGCGACTTCGATAATAGTACGTATATACAGTCTGTCGAGAGAGAAGAACGCGACTATGTATTGTACGCGAACGTATTCCTCGCGCGATTCGAAGTCGCGATCGTTCCCAGATCCAAGTTGCGTCCTGGCGTCAAGCTTTTCGAACTTTGAACACGACAAGTGAAGCTTCTTTGCGGAATGCGAACAAAACGTTTACGGTCAAACGACGAAATACAATAAAGATTCGTTTGAGATCATTTTCAATATTTTCGTCGAGGTATATGTATATCGACGTGGCGTTGGATAGCTCTCGGAAGAGTTTATCCCAAATTTACGTTCGCATTAAAATCAACGTATCGCTCCAATTTATAATTGGTCGCACTTGTTTATTTAATTTTAATGGAATTTACATGCGTTAATGGAATTCGATTTGTTAGTCGGTAATCAAGATATTCAGGCGCGCATGAAAAGTGTGCCACGCAACGGAGTCGAATTAATTCGCAAAAAAAATCGAATTTGCGAGGAATGTACCCACGAATCTTCACGTCCTTCTTTCTCAACATTCTGTATATACAGGGAATCTCTGGTCAGTCGCACCTTCGACGATAAATACCGCGGGTGAACGGTTAATATCGAACGAGCTTCAAAAAAATATCTCAATCCAGTGAATACACTGTATTCCATATCAGTCTTAACGTGTCTGTTGACATCGCATACCGAATAAAATTGTAAAGTTGCCGCTATGAAATTTTCTCACGTGCGATTCTAACTACCAACGCGTTAAGTATTGTCGACCGAATGCGCGATTGACTAGGAACACCCTGCATATACATGTATATATATATTTTATATATATAACATATATAATCGCTACCTGCATATCACAACATAAATTTTATTCTCTCTTTGATTCTCTCGCGCGCGATTCTCTCTCTCTCTCTCTCATTCGCTTCCTCTCATTCGCTTCCTCTTCCTTTTTCTCACTCGAACGCGATACATTCAATTTACGCAAGCATGCACACGATCCCGTCTACATAATTATTATAATGCTGCGGTATTGTGATAGTGGTTGAGTTTCGAAGCATTGTAGCGCCGTTCCAGGGCGCGTCTCGGATGTACGCTCAGAACGGAACGTAGTCTCTCGCTACCCCGGTTCCATTCCTTGAGAATTCTATTCCGCATTATACCGTGCATACGCACACGAGTTCGTTAGATGGGAGCGAACAAAACGGGACTTACAAACATTCGCGGCGAATACGTAATTGTTCGCCCTTCTCGAGCCTCGAGGCCGGCTTGCGCCGACACCGAGGTGGTGCTCTAACTGAACGATAGTTAAAGTTAACTGACGTTTAACGCTTTCCTAGAATCCTCCGATTCTAGTTTCGTTTCGCGAGATAGATAACGGAATTGAATTAAATTAATTTAGGTCAAGTCGAGGGCGAATAATCGAAACTTAAGTTAACTAAGGAGGGTTAACGGAAGTTAAGCGACCTTTAACGTCTTTCCCTCCTGCGGTATTACAACTACGGTCGTAATCTAGGAAAAGACGGGGTATCGCCGACCAAAATTTAGTTAAGACCGTTAACTAAATTTACGATCGTCTTCTTTCTTCATCGATATCATATAGCTATATGTAATCTAGGGAAAGGATAAGGAATCCCTAAGCAAAATTTAATTAAGGCTGCTAACTACATTTACGATTATCCCATTTACAATCTAACGATGTAAACGCCGTAGAAATGAAGAAATATCGCCATACGAAATTAATCAGAGTGGTTAATAAAATTTATTACTCAGCTAACTCTGTAGTTAACGGAAATTTCAACTTAAGACAATTAACTAATTTTACGAATGATCCCATGCTTCTTCTCTCTTTTTTTCTTTCTCTTTCGATATTACGACGCCTGCGGGGTCGTCAGTTGGTAAGCGGCAGGGGGAGGGAAAAAATAGCTAATCGATCCTTGATTCGAGCTGTTAATGAAATTTACTGACTGATCAAATCCTTTTCACGTCCATCGGTATATCACAACAAGAGCCCGTAGCGTCCAAAGTAACGTCGTTAGTCGAAGTTAGTCGACCATCCCTTATCGGCGCAATTCGGCCGGAGATCTCTCGGCAAGCTAATCGTCGTGCCGCCGACAACGATCCGGCCTCTCTTAAACGGAGAGTACGCTATACCCGTCCGCTCGTCTTCCCGAGCGGATTTCCCTCGCGAGTGCATATCGATCGCGCACGCATTACCGCCCGTCAAATGAACCGAAATAAGCGATCGGTCCGACGACGTAGGGGGATTCATTCACCGGGGAACGCATCGTTGCGGCACGCATCCCTCGTCGGCGGATATCGCGCGAGCGAGACCTCTCCTTCGTCCGACGATCCGTTTTTTCTTCTTCTCTCCTCGTGCTACACTGCTCACGAGCTCAGCCACTAACGATTATACATCAGCACAGAAATCTTAGAAACCATGGCTCAGCGCTGTGGGTGAGCCCGAGCTCGCCCATCGCTGCATGCCCATCCGCCACGAGATCCATCACCGACGTCGGCGACGGCTACTGCGACGGCTTAGAGTATGCAGCAGGAAGCCGAGCAGCAACTACTCCCGCCGCCTTTACTTTTTTGTCTCTGATCTGCAACAAAATAACGCACATGTCGGTTAACTCGCATGTCCTTGCGACGCGAAGTTCCGCCTAGCACCGCGAAATCTGGATAGACGGTCTGTGCAAACGGATGAAAAGAGAAAGAATGTGTGTGCGTATGTGCGTATGAGTATATATGCGTAACATCGTGTACATTGCGTTGAAAGAGTGTAAAGAAAGTTCACTTGGTTCTTGCAAAAGAGCTCTCCTGACTGAAATAAAGAATTCATTAGTCATCACAGACTAATTTCTCGAGAAAATTTCGTATCATTCTTTGGAAAATTTAATTTGCGTGTAATATTTAATCGACTTTTCTTGTGCCTGCAATTAACTTTAATATTATTTCGTGATCGAATAAATAAATATTTCTCTCTAATAAAAGTAGTAATTGCCAAATAATACCAAGTGATGTTATTTAAACAATCAATAATGAAGTAGCACCTCAATTCTTTCCTTAGTCATTTCATTTATTTTCAAAATAAGAATGTTAATTTTTTATTCTTCCATTACAAATTATAGTATAATATTATTTATAAAAAACTGGAATGCCAAACTTGAGTTATTTTTACAAAAGAATAATAAGATTAAGTCGTATATGGATTTCTCCTTCATTCAGATATAATGTCATGCTCTTCTGTTAAAGCCCACATTTAAATATCGGATCGTACAATGTTATTAAATTGTCTTGAACGATGGGATTCGTGTATATGTTACTTTTCGTTCGGTATTATATTTATTTGTCGTGGAAACAAGCAACGGATTTGGAATTTGCGAGAAATAGGTGATAAGGATTGGGGAAACTCACGTTGACTCAAGGATTTAAGGCGGTGTCTTTTAGTTGTCATAGTTTTAAGGACCGTCGGGCAGGGTGTACATGTACTCACCGTTAGGAAGAATGCCTAAAAAGATGAAATGGGAATAACTGTCGCTTTTTCTTTTAATTGTTAATTGATGTAATAGCATACGCATTCAATAAATCAGTATCTTCAATCTAATAGAATATCAGTCTTAAAACAAATGAGAAAAGTAATGTAAAAAAATTTGGACTTATATTAAAAATTTTTTAAATAAAGATCTAGATCTACAAAAAAGATGTTATGTTTCAATGTTATAACATTGGGTATTCTAGATTGAATATAACAAGTTTGGCGAGCATGAAGCGGTTATCAATTATTATTAGTAAATACAAGTGTAATATTAAGTAAAAAATCTAAATGGCTGTAGTTTTAACTAATAAATTAAATAATTAATTAATAAATACTTAAATAAAATGCCCAATAAAAATAGTTTAATTTTTCCTACTTTTTACCTATCATTAACGACTTTTTTGATTGTCCGAAAACAGGCGGGAACAAATGATGCATTTCCTATAAATTTTGCGCTGCTGATGCACAGGCCACGTGAAAAAGCCAATTTAGAAAGCAGGAAACCTCCACTGTGTTGTAAAGTTGCAGCGTATTGTTACGAAGTTGCACAATGCATCGCAGCACCTCGACGATTATCTTCTCCGTCGATCAAAGCTGATTATTAACTACCTGCCCGCGTTTTATCCGTCGCACTTGCCGTCGCATCGATTAATAATTAGCGGTAAACGAGTCGCGTGCGGTGAAGTCGATGTCGCGACGTAAGGAAGGAAGAAAACGAAGATAAACTGTCGGATATTAATCAATGTAACGTACAATTGTTCAATCGCCGTTAAATTAAGAATCGCGGAATTTACCGGAAAAGGCTCGCAGAAACGGAAGTATACGCGTGCCGGAAGCGACAGAGAAATTGCAAGGGAAATTGCAAAGGGTCGCAACGCGAAATATGCATTTTACGAGAAATTATATAGACCTCGTACGAGTAATAACGACGTTGCGCAGTGAGAAACTGTGTGACGATCACCCATCATTTGATGAGACGATTGATTATGCGAATTAATATTCTGACTTTCACTGATGCGCGGTTGCAGAGTAACGTGTGCTAAATCGATAGCGATGCGTGCGTAACGATCGCAACGTTCAATTTATCAGTAACATTAATTTATTCCGCGAGATAAACGCAAGAGATAAACCAGAAGGCGCAGATTTAAGAAAGGACTTTTTCGTTGCTTTCATTGTTAGTTTGACAAAAGTATCAAAATACTAGTAATTTCTAAGCTATAAATTGTAAAAAAATAAAAAATTCTTTATAAATTAAATAGAGATATAAAATATTTAATAAAATTAATAATCTGACATGATCATGAAAATGGGGTAAGAATATATTTGTTAGAATCTTTCTTTTTAATTTGATGCTGTCTCATACTTGATATTATAATTTTTTTAAATAATTTTATATTTTAGTTTGAAGCTTTGCTGCAAAATATTAAAATTTGAGAAGCTACGACCACTCTTGACGATGCTCCTTGATATTTCTGTCTAAAAATGTAATTGCCGAAAAATCTATCTTCAATATGCTCTAGCTGCATTCTTGATAGTTCTGTATAAATCGCTGTCAACTAACGGCTAAATAAATTTAAGCTAATCCATATAATTCCGTAAATTCCGTTATAATGAACATCGATGGAATACGACATTTTCACTATAACGAAGTGTGATTGAATCTCCGCGTCTAATACGCGGCTTGATGTAACGAACTTTTGGTGTAATAAATTCAATTTGGAGATCCACGGCGGCAGCTCGTTGTAACGAGATTTTACCGTAATAATTACGCAAGCGCGTCACGTACCGATGCGATAGATTTAGTTTAGAACGGCGAGTAAACAAATTTAAAGAACGATAACGAGTGAAGATTTAACTGGATATTAATAAAAGTGCGGTAGAGTGTGCGCAACGTGTTTTTATACGGGTTGCAGGGAATTAACCCTTATCCGGGTAATTTATTTTCCTCCGGGGATACCATGATATATAAAGGCACTCATTATATGCATATACATAAAAATACAATTAAAAATTGTAATTTTTATATAATTACATTTTTTATATAAAATTACAAAAACAAAAATTTTCATTTAAAAATTCATTTTAGAAAGCAGGGTATTAAATCTTCTTATTAATCTTGGAAATCAATAATCAGAATCTCAGTTATTTTAGTCAATTATTAATATTAAAAATTTTCAGGAATTTTACTAAATACGTACTAATGACAATAATGGTTTAACAGATGATATACGTTATGTGAATAAGAGTTGATATAACATAATAAAAACCAGATGTGCATCACGGTTTAATTTTATGGTCTACGAGAGTATTTTAATTACGATTTTATGACGAGGTTTATATTTCTCTCTCAAGAGAAGTTAAAAAAGAGAAAATTTGTGTCTGGTTTTGTGGTGAGTTCATCGGGGAAGCGGGGGAGGGGGGGGGGGAGGAAAGCATACAAGAAGTTTCGTAACGATCTCCACGGAGGAGGAGATAACATGGTCGCATCTCGCGAATTCACCTTGAGAATTAGGCTCCGGAAGATTCTCCCGCGGCACCAGATGCATCACCGTGGTTTTTCCAAAGGGAAGCCCAAGAGCACCGAGCGTGACATTGCTGTGCAGGAAACGACCCTGGTAGATTAGCCGCAGGATCTCCGCCTTGGCGACCGCCTCCTCTGCCCAGTCTGCAACACGGAGATAACATTTGCGGGATGCTGAGGGTTAGGTGTTCTTTCCCGGCTCGATCCAACGATTCGCGAAAAGTTTCCGAGAGAGGAGCCAAAGCTCCTCGAACCTTAAAAGATGGCGTAGGTTCGTAGAAAGTATTTGTAGTGATAAAAAAAAATACGAAAATACGAACCCGCCATTGTAAAGATTGAGTGTAAAATTTCCTAGTTGTATTGTTTCTATCCTTACGTAACTTTATAATTCTATATAATATTCTAATTCTAAATTTTTTTTCTATCTATTTATTAAATTAAGACAAAGAAAATGCTTGTACTTTATATTTAAAATAATTTTCAAGTCTTTCACATTGTAACGAAAGCGATAAAACATTTTCAACATTACATAAAAAAATTCCAGACGTCATAAATAAATAAACATTTTTAATACTCTGTAAAAATTTATTCTTGAAATTTCGTAACTTCTTGTTAATCAAAATTTCTAATTTTACACACATCTAATTTTGTTAATTTCTCATTTCTTTCTGAATTGTTTAATCTTCTAATTTTAAAATCTTTTGAGTAGCAGAGATTCTAACAGATTCTCGAATACATACCTATAAGGTATTTGTATACGATGATTTTGCATGTAACTCTCTCATCATGACGTGATGGCACATCGGTAATTAATGATAATAATTGCAGGTAGCATCATATGTTAGATTCTGCTGTTATAGCAATTATAGTAACGCTAATGGGGAATGGATTGGTGCAAGCGGAGTTTCGAAACGGCAATGACTAACTCACCTTCCGGCCAATTTTCAAACACATGGTGCGCTATATCGCCCGCGGAATCGCTTGGACTGAATAGGAACTCTTTTGTCTTGCCACTGACGAGGATGAGGCGTAGATTTATCTGCAATATATAAAATTAGAGTGAGTATTAGAGTGAGAGTGAGAGAGGGGGAGAGTAAGAGAGAGAGAGAGAGAGGAAGATCAATTACGCAAATAGAAAAATTTTAATAACTGGATATGCGCTTGATATTTTCATCATCTCAAATTAATTAAGAAAAATTTCAGTTTATGACTAGTAGTATAATATAAAAACTAATTTACATACAAATTAAATTCCAGGTACTTATTTTATCAAATCGTCAAAGTTCATATATTATGTAAGAGCTGAATATAATAAATACTTTAAACAAAATATTAAATATTAATTATACCATTCGGAATAAAAATCGTAAAATTGCAGTAAACGTTCATTATATACGCCGAAAGCGAGAGGGTGAAACAAGTATTCGTCGACTTTCAACCAGCACCGCACCGGCGGCAGCTGCGTACCGGCGAAATTACCGGGGACAGTCGCCCCCACGGCCGAACGCGAATTCAATTAACATCGGGTAGGCAGGGGTGCGAAGATCAGGCAACATAAATAATTAGCGACGACGATGAGGACGAAGCTGGACCCCGGCGCGACGTGCGTGCTCGAAGGGCTCGGCCGACCGCTCGTAACCCTTTGCGGTCTCCGTGGTCGCGACAATCCGCCGTTAAAGCGTTAAATCATCGTCCCCCGCGAGCGATGCGCATTATCGTCCGGCCGCACGCGAAACTTCCCCTTGGCATTACGGAATTTTCGTGCCGGAGGCTCGCCGGCTAGCCAGACTCACCCTGTATATTGTAAAGTGTATAGCGGGAATAATGCGGGTGAGCGTTACGAAGCTGTAACGAGGAAATTACAGCGCCGAGAGACGCTACGGAGTTTATTTTTATCCGTTGTACCTTTTCCTAGGCGTTACTAATTTGATAATCTTCCCGTGGAAAGCCTTCCGGATTTGCAAATACCCGCGAGCGAAAGTGGACCGTAGATTTCGAGGAAAATGAAATTTCAACGGGAGAACATGCATTTTTCGTGCGCTCTGTATGAAGATTGTATATAAGGATGGAAATTTTAGAGCTGGTTTTTCCCGCGGGACAATGTTTCATGAAATTCTTGTGGAAAATTCTTGATGTCGTTCCGCAAAATTTCTCAGTCTGCCGCATTAAATGTGTCAGCGACGCCGAATTGTTATGTAAATGGAATTTCTTGATCTCTATTCGCGTATAACCTTTTTGTAGTTTTTAACTACAAAAAATTTTTACTCGCCCGTGGTTTATTTTAAATCACATGTATATGCATTGATTGCTGTGAATAAATATAATTTCTCCTATATATTCATCTCTGTGAAATTACTTTGTCGGAAATTGTTTCTGCGTTTATGAACAGCAGACAAAACTTAAAACAAAACTGACACAAAAAAAGCTGCAAATTCCATGTTTTTAGAAAATTGCTTTTTAGTTGAGAAAGATCGTATGTGTCAAAACCAATAGCGTAGTAAAATTTTTCAAGCATTATTTATGAGAATATTCACGAGATACACCACCAAATGTTAATTTTTTGTTAAACAAATAATCTATTGTTTAAATAAGCAATAAGCAATAAATTGCATACGTTTCCTATAAATAAAAGATATATTGTTTAAGAAAGGGATCTTTTCTCGGATTCTTATTATTGGCGATATCATGAAAAATGAGAAGAAAAAGCGCAAAATATCGTGTTAGAACGATCGTGCCGTAGAACCGTACAATACGTTTTGTAAAGCATGCCTCGAGCCTTAATCCCCACTGTCATCTTCTAATACGTCGATAAGAGAGATATCGGGTTTCCGAGCAACAACGACCGAGGTGACTATAGTTCTGAGCTCCATTCGAGAGTGCAAACTGCTGCAAGTTGATTCGCAAGCGAAACCGCATTTTCTATCGATCGTTTGGTCGAAAGGGCGCGACCAACCGTTCCGATAATTCGCTCATTAGTCCTCCAACGAGAGGGGGATACAAAGAGAGAAAGAGAGAGAGAGAGAGAGAAGAACACACACATAGAAAGAGGAGCACTTCACTTTTGCTCCGTGCTTGATTTAGAAATTTTAGGCTCACCGAGCATGCATTATAGAGGAAGTGGTCCTCTTCCTGGTGCGCGTATAACAAACTCTCGAAAATCCTCCGGATCTGCATGTGTGTGAATTCACGAAAGAGACGAGAGAGATTTCCGTCGACATACGGACTTCAAAGAGATTTATTCATGTAATAGCAATCGATTATTCGAGTCACGTGCTCGAGATCGCCCTTCTGTCCGCGTCACGAAATCTTTCCTCGCTTGTCCACGTGCGTGATATATCGCAAGAATATTTAACTCTATTTTTATGTTCTCTCGTTATCCTTCAAATTACTAAAAATATAGTTTTTATATAAAAAAGACTGTCGCGCACACACACGTCACGGTCAAAGATGTGATAATAATTAGCGACGAGGGGAGCCTTGAATTCTAAACAGAAGACAACTCCGAGGGGTCGTCGTAAAAGTGAAGTCGCGCTAATTACATATTCTTAATAGGTCACTCGGTAATAACGGGCACAGCAATTGCTGGTCCGTGCAGGTGCCATCACCTGGATGTCTAGCGATGCGAATCTAACGATGTCACCACTCGATATGTCCACGTCGAATATTTCGTTTCTTTCGTCACGCGCGCTGCCTGATTCGAACTTTCGCTGCTTTCACCTCGCGGAAAAAGCGCAGGGAGTGGGTCTCATTTGCAAAAAAGAAAAAACGACCGGGATTTCGAGGAGTTAATCCTACATTCTGTGCGTTAAATAACATTCGGACACGAATATTATTTAAAAATCTGATATTATTAATTAAAAGATAACAAATTTAATTGTTATCTTTACTATTAAAAATATAGTTATAAAAAAATGAACGCAAATATAAACGTTTTAGTTTTTCTGTTTAATAAACAAGTTTTTTTTTGTAAAATCCAATAATTCGTGCAAAATATGCTTTACGTTAAAGTATCTATAGTAATTAGTTGAAATCAAATTAGTATATTTTTCCGGCAGAATCGTAATCAACTTTCACTTTTGCACGCAAAATGTTCCATAAATCGCTCAGTTAATAAATTCTAAAAAATTTATTCATAGTCAATTCTTACAAACGTGTTAGATCTATTCAGAAAGTTTTACATTATTACAGCTTCAAAGGCCGATAAACTTTCTCTGATTTTTAATTATTAATGATCAATTATAAAATAACACCCTATTAATTAATTATTATCGCTATTAACGTATATTATTATTATCGTTATTATTATCGCTATTAGAGAACGTATTTTAAAATATCTCTGTACATCAAAAACACATCGTGAAAGTTTTATATGGAATTTTGTAGTACTATTTCATAGCATTACTCTTTTAAAGAACACCGCATATTTTGTTTAGATTATCAATTAAACTACATAGCATTATATACATATATTTTTTATAACGCGTACAGGTTGAACTTTACTCAAGTCCGCGAAAAGGTTAAGCGACGAGTTGAGAACGTCAAGTCAAGTGCGGACGCTATAAAAAGGCCGGGATAAATCTTCGAGCTAATGTCGGTTGGCGGATAATCGTTTTAAGTCCCGACTTCGACACGCAACTTCGCGATGAGTTTCACTAACTTATAATCTTAAAAGTGGAATCGCCTTAAATTAACCCGGCGGATAATATAGCCGGAGCTCCTATCGGCCACCAAGTTGCACATGGACGTGGAAAAGTATAATTAACGTCTCACTACCTTTCTAGTAAAACGGTTAAGTGGATTAAGGAGCTAACGCCATTTAAAACAGGCTCCTAGGCCGACGCCGATCCTTTTACTTCTTCGCTTAAATCGTTCAATAATGTCACATAACGACATATAAGTATCACGATGATTTGTTTTTTTCAACATTAAAAAATAGCTTCATAAGTTACGAATTAAGATTTCATTTATATACAGCTCACGTGTGAAGCAGATAAAAAGAGTAATAAAGTTATCATTATTTATTTCTGCGCTCCAGATTCTGGAAAAAGTTTCGATCTTTTATTGCTTACAAATAATGAAAGACTGTCAACACTTCGACATTTACATCCAGGGAAATATCAATGACATATCTGTCAAAAGAAAACATGGGTGAAAAAGTTCGGTCGGTCTATCTTGTATTATATACAATTTTCCCTGTCAATAATTAATGGATCTGAGGGTGGGCGTGCGTCCCTCAGCGATACCGTTACGGAGATTTTATTAGGCTCTATGGGAGACGCGCATTGTAAAAAAGGACCGACAACGGAGGGCGAGCGAAAGGGAGGGGAGGGGAGGAAACAAGGAGGCCGGGAGAAGAAAGAGCGGAATTGGGCTAATCGCGAATGTGTGTTCGCCGCGATGGGTTTACCTTGATTTTGCGAGCGAGCGCGGAGCGCTCGATTCGCGTCACGAGGCGAGGTCACGCCGAGACCGGATAACCAGGTCATTGGGGCATTCGGATACCCGAGGACCGCGGCGCGAGCGGAGCTACGCGCATATGCATGTAGAACGACCCACATCTCTCTACGCGCGCGCCCGCGTCCTTCGCCCGCAGCAGCGCACGTATATCGAAGGACTTTAAGTTTTGACGCAAACACGTAATAAACGCGCAAAGCGCGCGCACGAGCAGATCTCCCTTCTCGATCCAGATATACGGCCGAGACGCAACGGCGTTTTCCCTCAAGGTCCTTCCTCCTCGTCGTCCATCGCGCCGCACGCGACCCGCACGCGAATTCGGCGACGCATGCGGAGAATAAAAAAAATACTTGCGCAATTTATTTCTTTTGGAATAAATTTTCAACTAAAAATATCGCTGAATGAAAATAAAGCATTTTTTGCGACAATATTTCCCCGTTTTATGCATCAGAGTTATTCCAAAAGAATGGAATGTGCATCAGGTACTTTCTTCATCGATATTTAATTATTATATTAAGGGGGAATTAAAAATCCAAACAAATATTTATGATAAAAATATTTAAAGATATACAATAAGTACAAAGA